GACAGACCAGACGTTATGAACCAACCAAAAACCCACAAATAAAAGCAAAACTAGAAATATTAACTAACTTAGCCGACCCGACAGACTTCGTCCTGTGCCAAAAGAATTTGTAATGTTTACTTTTTTGTTCCTACATATTTTATAGTTGGAACAAAAAAGTTCTCCTAACTAGAAACCGGTCACCCTTGATAGGGCGTGGATATAAGAAATATAATTAAACAAAACATATATAAAGCAATTTAAAAGCAAGTATTCGATTTATTGGTAATCATGTGAATCATAATTATTAACAAAAATCACGCCAGTTGATTTCATGTAGTGCTATTTGGATAACCAATGTTTTTGTGTGATTACCTGGAGCATAGACCAAACAAATCTGATTGGTTTCCAAACACGAACAGGCCAACATACTATTGACCATTTGAGAAACATGGTTTGTCCAGGATTAACACCACAAACACTTTAATGATTTCCGCCCTGGGCGACTTGATTTATGTCATAGCAAAGAGCAAGCCGATGACTGAAACGTAGTCGTTTGTAAAGTTAAACGTACATCAGTCGGAATCATTGGTGCGCCCGGTATGATGAACGTCTTCTCCTTGTATACTTTCCTTTCAGTATGAGTTCTTCCTATCACGTTGGTTGTTTAGTAATTTTTTATCGCTAACCGGTGTGCCATTGCAAGAAACTGTCGTTGATTGATATTTCGTCAACTTATAACTACCGAGTCAACCTTTAATTGAAGTAATTGTGAGGTGGCAATCCTGTAAATCCAGCGGATGTTTAAAAATTCTGGTGGAGTGAGTTCACACATTCATCTGGGTTACTATCCAATCAAGTGATTTATATATCCTCGTTCGCCGTGTAATTGTTCTTGAATTTGTAAAATTTAATTCATTTTTACATCATGTGTTTTTGCGAGCCAATATAGCTCGTCGCTCAACCAATCATTTTTCTGTAATTTGAGAAACATTCTGGAAACACGCTGAATAAGTTCATCTTTTGACCCCGACTGTAAACTAAAAACCCCCGGACAAAAAACTTTGAGGAAGATTAATGCAGCCATCAAACATATCTATAGGAAATTTGTCCATTCCAATGTCATGCTGTTTAGGAAAATATCCTATGATTGGTGCATTTTGCAACTTCGACGCCCATATTCTTGCTTAATGAAGTACTTCGACATGTTCCACCAAATTGAAGAACTTAAGACATGCATTGAGTTCATCAGCTGTGTTGATCGTGGAATTAACTGGCAATGTTTGAGCGAAAATCTTCTGCTGAGAGTGTAGAAGTGCAGTTGTGCGAGCTCGAATCTCATAGATTTGGTTATGATTGCTGGCCGTGGATCTTTATGCGGTTCTATCTAAAGACTCCAAATATTTTTTATGTGGCCATCGTGCAGTTCAGTCCCAAAATAATTAATTAGCCAATTGCTGCAAACCTTGCCATTACAGAGTTCTTCTGAAATGGTGCAGGTTCGGGATTGTCATGCTTTGCATATTAAGTGACAATTTAATTGCGAATGTGCTGTGTTCGACACCTTCAAGGCAGTTTGCTTGCGATGCCCGACGAAGCGAGAGGCCAAGTTGGCAATTTATTTTGTGAGCGAATTGCGTGTGAATATTAATTGAAATCCAAAAAAAGTTTTTCCTGTTGACCACCAGGTTGCCATTCTTAGAGTAAAATCCCTCCAGTTTTCATCATTTGTTACTTAATAAGAGTGTCCCAAATTAGTATTGAACTTTCTGTTGTTCATTCAAAATCAGTTTGAAAGATGTTGTTGAAAATGTTTAATTTTCTTGCCAAAAAAGTGTGGAGATTGCATGTTACCAAAGTTGTTTTCTTCGATTTTCCCAACTCCGATTTTCAAAACTCTTGGTTTTAAAAAAGAAAAAAGGGGCATGTTTCCATTGCAATTTGGACGCGATTTTGGGGCCGGCCAGGGCCTTAATTTTGAATTGAAATAGTTTGAAACAATTCAATCAAGCACATGCTCCTCAATTGAAATCTATGCTTCATTGAAATTCTTCAAGCATGATTTGTAATCTCTTCTGGTAAGGTGAATATACTCTTCAGATCGGAGTTTGGTCTGATTCAACCTGATGAATGTTAATCTCTCCGTGACACTTTTCTGGTCAGGGGTGGTTGATATACAATTGCCTATGAACTATTGTTAATTGCCTATGAACTATTTCACTTATATTAAACAAAGATTTTAAAGATAAAACCTAATTTTTTATAGTAAGTTACGGAAACAATTAGTTAAATAATGCTCAGAAATAATAAATAATTTTCAAAATGGTTTGATAAAAATCAGACGATTTTGAAAAATGCAGTATTTAGTATTTTTTTAAATATTTAACTTTGGAAAGGAACACAGTCTACCGGATATTTCGAAAGTAAACTACATTCAAAACTAACCTTCTCATAAAGCAGAAGTGAAGAACACACGTTTTCTACTATTGGCAAGTATCTTCGTTTGATGATAAGTGAGCGAGGTGGAGTGGCATGTAGAGCGGGGAGGGTGACAGTGACGGGGACCGAACGAAAAGGCGTGTGCACTAGCCATTGCATCTCGACCTTTGTTTTCAATTAGTATTTACATCTGTAATTTGTATATTTTTTAATGCTCCGCAAGCGTATGTCCCTTCCCTACTTCTACAGGGCGAAGATGACTAAATGAAGGGTAGTAGATGAAATGCGTACAAATATAAAAAAGAATACCGTGCCATAAGAACATGCGGAACACCCACGTTCAAAGCAGGATTCCAACTCATTCTCTCCATTTAGAAGCCATTGCCTTAACGAACTACGCTATCTAGAGTGTTCGTTGTATACCATCGTATAGACTTTCAATTAACGTCTGTAAGGTTCTAAGTTCTCAGATCGTGAAAGTGACACATTAGCGCACTACTAACCTAGACCATTTCACATGGAGATTTCTTATTTGATACTTATCACATTTTGGGTTCCAAGAGCTAAAAACTATTTATGACACTCACATTTTTCGTTACACATCCACAATAGACTAATTAATATTTGTTATCCTCAACTAGTTTTCGTTATCTGGCTGTGTGCAGAATATGATTAATGTGGAAAATATCTTATCTACTTCTAAGGACCGTTTATTGACACTTATATTACTTTACACGAGACATAATGCGAGTTTACTACCCTTCGATAATCCACGCTCTTTCCTGGGGTCGAATCCTGTCTCTGTAGGTAGAACAATCCATAAGCTGCACGTTTTTTCACCAATGAGTTGTTTCAGTAATATTTTTCACTCCATTAAGGAACGCATGTAAACTCAAACTTCATCTGAGAGAACAAAACTGTATCCTGTATGACATAGTTTAATTGCCTTTTATCTTCTCCACGTGCGCAATTATTTGCATATTACGAACGCGTGTGTTGTTCCGCTCGAACTCCGGGGTGAACTCCATAGACAGAAACTTCGAGTTTTCTCTTTGATATATTCGCATGAAGTCTTCCATGTACTGGGTCTTCAACTCCTCTGGAACTCTTTTGAGGAATGGATTCAACGTCGTCATACTATCTGGAGAAGTAATAAATGGATTAATTAATAAAGCAAGTTACTAGAAATACCACAATAAAACAATTACTTTCAAAGTTCAATAAATATATATATTTATATATTAACAGACAAAAATACCACATTTTAGATGCTACATTTCTACATGCAAACATTACAATGCTTTGGGCTTGTATTTATTTGTGACCTCAAGTGTCTTGCATATTGATGTCCATTTAGTGTGTTTGATTAAAACAAGTATGATAATACATTTATGTAAACAATGGCATTTCACCTGAATAATAATATTTTAATTCTTGTAAGTGGGGAAGACCGGGGCTGGTTGGCACTCGGGTTTCTACACCGGTCACGTGGCTTGCGCAAGCTCTAGCTTTATGTCCTTCAAGACCTTCTTTTCGAAGAAGCCTTCCTACGATCGTGGATCAGTGGTGTCAATGCTTCGGGAAGAGTATTTTTGTAGCTCATTGTTTGTAGTCTGTAATATTGGGAAGGAGAGATTTTTCTTCCCTTTGCAGGTGAAACATTCAAAGAAGTTTCAGATTTTCGTGTTTCAATTTTTAGTTTTGAGTTCCCTTGTTAGATCCTCGGCCATCCTTGATCAAAAATCTTGTTAGGGGCTGGTTGATACGTTTGAATTGGGATTGATTGGCGCAGTGTGTTGTACATAAAATTATCATTTGTCTGATATTGTTTATTCACTACTAGGGTAAAAGCAACAGCGGTGTCCACAGTTAAGAATATTGTCGCAAGTTTCTCAAAATTCTTGTGCAAAATTCTTGTGTGTGTGTGCGTGCGTGTGTGTGTGCGTGTGTGTGTGCGTGTGCGTGCGTGTGTGTGCGTGTGTGTGTGC